CAAGAGGCCCCCGGGATCGCCCCAGGGCGGCCCAAAAGGCTCCCAAGAGAGCCCCCGGACGGCCCAAGAGGGACCCAAGACGGCACAAGAAGCCACGCAGACGTCGCAAGACTGCCCGAAGACGGGCCCAGAGGTAGAACACGATCCAACATGTCGAGCCCTCCGCCACAAGAAGACCACAGAGACCGCCAGCAGGCCCCGAAGAGCCCCCCGGAAGATCCAGGAGACTCCCAAGGAGCCCAAATCAGGCCCCAATGCCTCCAAGAGGCCCCCGAGAGACCCCCAAAACACCCCAAAACCGCCTCCAAGAGGCTCCCGAGAGGCCTACCGAGAGGTGCCCACAGGCATCCAAGAGGCCTCTGACGGTGGCAGGATGGGCCGAAAACCACTAGACCTGGGGCCGGCACGGAAACGGAAAGAGCGCTTCAGAATCCACCACCGTTCGTACTGGGAGCCTTGGCGTTGAGAGCTTGTTACGTCACCCCTCGCTCTTGGGAGCCTTGGTGTTCAGAGATTGGCTGGGCCTTGGTGTGAGGAACTTGTTACATCACCGCTCTCTGCTGGGAGCCTTGGTCCTATCAGCTTGTTTACGTCACCGTTCGCTCTTGGGAGCCTTGGTGTGAAGAGCTCTTTGCGTTACCGATCGCTCTTTATTTGGCATCTCTGGGCCTTCTCGGGAGTCCTATTGGGGCCCTTTTGGATCCCTTTGGGGCCTCTGGGGGGCCTCTTGGGGGCCTCTTGGGACTTCTTGGGGGGCTCTTGGGGTATCCTGGGAGCTTCTTGGGGCGAAAGGCTAAACTGTTCGGTTCGTAGTCCCCCTCTTGGGGCCGTCTTGGGGCCCTCTTGGGCCGTCTTGGGCGCCTCTTGGGCCGTCTTGGATCCCTCTTGGGCCGTTTTGGGAGCCTCTTGGGCCGTCTTGGGGCGGTTTTGGGGGCCTCTTGGCCGTCTTCAACGCCGTGAAAGCCGAAAAGCCGTAGATGCTAAAAATGCACGTTTTCCTAAGGAAAATCAATGATGTTGGCCTCCTGGTGGCCTCTTGGGACGCCTCTTGGGGGCCTCTTGGGGCTTCTTGGGGGGCTCATGGGGCCTCCCAGGAGCGTCTTGGGGCGAAAGGCTAGACTTTTCGGTTCGTGGTCCCCCTCTTGGGGCCGTCTTGGGGCCCTCTTGGGCCGTCTTGGGCGCCTCTTGGGCCGTCTTGGGGCCCTCTTGGGCCGTTTTGGGGGCCTCTTGGGAGCCTCTTGGGCCTTCTTGGGGCGGTCTTGGGGGCCTCTTGGACTGTCGTCAACGCCGTGAAAACCGAAAAGCCGCAGATGCTAAAAATGCACGTTACCCCAAGGAAAATCAATGATGTTGGCCTCTTGGGGCCCTCTTGGGACGCCTCTTGGGCGCCTCTTGGGGCGTCTTGGAGGCCTCTTGGGACGTCTTGGGGCTGTCCTGGGCGGTCTTGGGCTCTTGACGGAAAAAGGGGAGAACCCGAAAAGCATACAAAATCCCCAAGGAGAACCCGAAAAGGGCCATTACCAACCCTGCGTCTCGGCCTCGCTCCTCCCCTGGACCCCTCCCTTAAGGGCTTCGCCCCACACTAGAACTTCATCACTCGTACCTCGCTCTTTCCGTTACCTGGGCCAGCACGGAAACGGAAAGAGCGGACCAGGAACTTGCCCGAGAGGGGTCACGGCACCGTTCGCTATTGGGAGCCTTTGTGGTAAGAGCTTGTTACGTCACCGCTCGCTCTTGGGAGCCTTGGTATTCAGAGACTTTTTAAGTTGCCGCTCGCTCTTGGGAATATTGGTGTTGAAAGTTGCTTACGTCACCGTTCGCTCTTGGGCGCCTTGGTGTGCACGAGTTTGTCACGTCACCGTTCGCTCTTGGGAGCCTTGGCGGGAAGAGCTTGTGACGTCAGAACTCTCTGTTGGGAGACCTGTTGTTCAAAGATTTGCACGTTGCCGCTCGCTCTTGGGAGCCTTGGTGTGACGAGCTTTTTACGTCACATTCGCGCTTGAAGCCTTGGCGCGAAGAGCTTGTTACGTCGCCGCTCTCCGTTGGAAGCCCTGGCGCTCAGAGACTTGACCGTTGCCGCTCGCTCTTGGGGGCCTTGGTGTGACGAGCTTTTTACGTCACCGCGCTCTGGGGAGCCTTGGTGTCAAGAGCTTGTTACGTCACCGCTCGCTGATGTGAGCCATGGTGTTCTTGATTGTCTCTTGGGCCTCGTTGGGGTCTTCTTGGGGGGCCCTTTTGGAGCCCTTGGGGAGGCCTTTTGGGGCACATTTGGGCCGTCTTGGGGCTGTCTTGGGGCGTCTTGGAGGCCATTGGCCGTCTTGGGGCTCTCTCGGGGGCCTCGTGTGGCCCTCTTGGGAGCCTCTTTGGGCCCTCTGGCGGCTCCCTTGGGGCCGTCTTGGGCCCTCTTGGGCCGTCTTGGAGCCATTTTGGACCGTTTGGGGCCCTCTTGGAGTGTGCTCGGGCCCTTTCGGGTGCCTCTGGGGCCGTCTTGGGACGATCTTTGGAGCCTCTTGGGCCGTTTTGGACCGTTCTTGGCCAGAACAAGCGAGAACCCAAAAAACCTACAAAAGCATAGACAAATTTATGTGTGTTGCCCCTGGGGGCCCTCCCGGGGGCTCTCTGGAGGGCCTCTGGAGCTGTCTTGAGGCTCTCTTGGACCGTCTGGAGGCAATCTAAGGCTCTTTGGGGGCCGTCTTGGGGCCCGTTAGGGCTGTTTGGGTGCGCTCTTGGGCCGTCTTGGAGCCCTTGGGCCGCGCTACTCGAAAAAATACGAAGAAACGGGCCATGGGAGCCGCCCGGGAGCTGGTTCACTCGAACAAATAATAGGAAAGCTGGCCATTACATCCGATGTCCGCGCTCTTCGCCCCTCCCCTGGAACCCCTCCCTTTAGGGCTTCGCCCCACCTGAACGTCATCACTCGTACCTCGCTCTTTCCGTTACTTGCTTGGCATGTGGACGGAAAGCGCGTTTATTTTGTGAGGGCGCGAGGTCGCTGGCGTAGTGCCGTGGAGCCCTGTTGGTGTTACGGTTTCGGCACGACATAAAAAAAATTAACAAACAACAGTGCGAAAATCAGCAAAATTCCTTCCAGGCCTTCCTGGCAGTGCTTTTGGGGCTCTTTTGGGCCGTCTTGGAGCACTTTTGGGCCGACCCGTGACCCTCTTGGGCCGTCTTGGCGGGCTTGGGCCGTCTTGGGGCCATCTGGGGCCCTCCTGGGTCCCCTTGGGGACCTCCTGTGGCCCTCTTGGGGCTTTTTGGGGAACCTTTTGGGACTCTCAGGGGTCTCGAGGCCCAAGATGGCCCCATAACGGCCCAAGTGGCCCCCAGAACGACCCCAAGAGGTCCCAAGACGGCCCAGGAGGCCTTCAAGACGCCCAGGATGGCCTCCAAGACAGCCCTGGAGCGCCCTGAAAAGACCCAAAGACGGGCTTCCAACGGCGTCAGACGCGCTAGGAACGCCTTACGACGGTCAAGGAGGCACCCAAGAAGCTCCCAAATGTCCCCAAGGGGCCCGAGGAGGCCTGCAAGAGGCCTCCAAGAGGCCCCCAGGAAGCCCCCAGGAGGCCTCCAAGAGTGCCCCAATAGGCTCCCGAGAAGCCTCCTCCTCATTATTATTCCTTCTCGTATTCTTCTTCTTGCTACTATCACTACGTATAATATTGGTTTACGATTGTGGATACGAGTATGAATACCGAATCGCCTTCTGATCGTTCATGATAGTTGTATGATCGTTGATATGATGATGATTAATGGTATTACCAGTAGTATGATTGATACCTACTACTATCATTATCATGGTGTGGCTGATTGTTCGTCTTTTTCGTAAGTATAGGTGTTCTTCTACTGAGCATGAGTATGACTATTCGCCTTCGTACGATTATCGATGTCAATCTTATCTTGATAGCATTATTACAACTACTATGAGTCTATCACCTCCAGATGTTCCACGAAGCGTTTCCGCAACGACTGGGGAACACTTTGTCCGATAGATTGGCCGAGCCATGGCCACAACGTTCAGCCACACAGGCGCTTCCAAAAAGACGGGGGGCGGCGGTGACTCGTCGTAGGCGTATTCGATATCCGCCGCCCCCCGTGGTTTGCCACAGAGGTTCACAGCGTGCAACATTTATGAGTTGCGTTGGCTTGTCAAGGTTTCCAGCGGGGTCGTCGTCGTCGTCATCGTCACCGTCGGCGTCGTCATAGTTGTCATCATCATCATCGTCATCATCATCGTCGTCGTCACCACCATCACCAGAATCATAATGTACATATTATTCTTGATCATCAACACCCTCATCACCACCGTCATCATCATCAACAGCATCATTGTCAGCATCATCATCCCCTTCATCAGTAAAGCCATCATCATCATAATCATCATCATAAGCAGCATTGTCATCGTCATGCTAGTTCTCGTCATCATCGTCACCATCATAGTCATCAGCAGCAGCAGTACCATCTTCGTCATCGTCATCTTCACTACCATCGCAATCGCCATCGCCGTCATCATCATCATCATCATCATCATCATCATCATCATCATCATCATCATCGTCATCATCAGTATCATCATCGTCGTCATAGTCCTGAGCAGCATCATATCCATGTCCGCCTCCATCAGCATCATCATCAGCATCATCATCGCGACCACCATCATCATCAGCAGCATTATTATCACTATCATGATCATCATCGGAACATCACCAGCAGCATCAGCAAAATCATCATGATCATGATAATTATCATCAGCAGCATCAGCATCATCATCATCATCATCGTCATCGTCATCGTTAACTTCGTCGTCATCGTCATCATCGCCATTATCATGCTGTTCCTCCTCCAAATCTGCCCCACCCCCACCCCTCATCTCTCATACCCTAAGTTATCCTCATTCATGATCCCTCATCCTCCTCGTCCTCATCATCATCATCACCATCATCATCACCACCACCACCAGCATTATCAGCATCATCATCCTAATCATCATCATCAGCAGCAGCAGCATCATCATCCTAATCCTCATCCTCATCCTCATCATCATCCTTATCCTCATCACCATCATTATCCTCCTCTTCTTTCTCTGCCTCTGTCTCTGCTTCATACTCCTCCTCATCATCATCCTCTGCCTCTGCCTCTGCCTCTGCCTCCTCCTCCTCATCCTACTCCTCTGCCTCTGCCTCTGCCTCGGCCTCCTCCTCCTCCTTCTCCTCCTCCTCCTGCTCCAATACCTCCTCCTCCTCCTCCTCCTCCTCGTCTTTCGCACCCTCATCCTCCCCCTCCCCCTGCTCATCCCTACCTCCTTCCTCCATCTACAACAACAAACGACTACGACGACGACGACGACGACGACGACGACGACGACGACGACAAACGACCACGACGACGACGACGCCGACGCCGACGACGTGGCCGCCGACGCCGACGCCCACGGCGGCGGTGGCGAGAAAACCTCGCCGGAGCCCCTCGGCCGCGGAGCGCCCGGCCAGGCCAGGCCAGGCGGTGCGCCTCGGACGTGGTGGGAGCCGGGCGCCAGCGCCGCTCCTGCCCGCCCCCGGGGGCCCGCGCGAAGAGAGGCGCTAACGCCCCTCCTCCTCCTCCTCCTCCTCCTCCTCCTCCTCCTCCTCCTCCTCCTCCTCCTCCTCCTCCTCCTCCTCCTCTCCTCCCCTTCCTCTCCCTCCTCATCCTTCTCCTCCTCCATCGAATGTTTCTCTCTCCCTATCTCTCTCTACTGCTCTTCTCCTGACCCCTCAGGTTCTTCCTCCCTCACCCGCTGGATCCTTCATTCAAACCACGCTTCCAGTTACAGGCAGAACGTCAACAACGCTTGTCTGGAGGCGATACAGGATTCTCACCGCAGTCCCAATGTCCCTATGACTGAAGAAGCGTAAATAAAAGGCTTTCCCAAACATGTAAGGACTGCACCAGTGCCTACAATCAATATCTGTGACTGAACCAGTGGTGAAGTCCAAAGTCGCCTCCGGATGGTTGTTCCACAGCGGCCGCGAGGCATTCCAAGTCCGCAATATAGGCACTCCCTCTTGGACGAAGAAGTCATCCACCGATAACCGCATGCTGCTCATCTGTGACACGTCATTGTCAGCCGCCCTGCACGCTGGACGCTCCCTCCGCCGGTCCTCGTACTCTCCATTGCCCCGAGGAAAGTGCGGCGAGAGATAATGCATCTAAACCAACCCGATCTTGGATGCGAAGTCCTTCAGACACTGATACCAATAGTTCGCAAATTTCAGCCATCAGCAGGGACGTGTAATGCGCGCCAAAACCGAAGATCACATGATCCGCCGCCTGCCGGAGGTCCCTCCATTGTTTTCCGCCAAGCGTCGGCCAGGCCCACCAGAGCTTTCCCCGACGACACAAACAACAAACCTCTCAGAAGGCGCGAGGGCCTCTGAGAAGTCCCGCCGCCTTCGGAGAAGGCCTTCTCCTTCTCGCTTCCCCCTCTCGCTCGCCGCGGACGAACACCTGGAGGTATTCCCGTGCTCGCCAGAGGTTTCTGGAGGCCCAGGATGTCCTCGAAGGCCCACGCAGTTATCCCCGGAGGCTTCTGCCCAGATCCGCAGAAGGCTCGGCAGAGGGAGCAGGAGAAGGACAAGGGAGGAGAAGCAGCAGCAGCAGCAGCAGAAGAGTGAAGAGGCGAAGGAGAGAAGGGAGAAGGAGGAGGAGGAGGAGGAGGAGGAGGAGGAGGAGGAGGAGGAGGGAGGAGGGAGGACGACGACGACGACGAAGGGAGGGAGGACGAAAGAGAACGAGGAGGACGAGGTTGAGGGAGAACGATGACGAGGACGAGGTCGCGGAACGACGACGACGACGCCGCCGACGACGACGCCGACGACGACGACGACGGCGTCGAGGCCGACGAGCCCCGCCCCGCCGTCGTGCTCGTACGGCGGGTGCACGACAGGGGGGCGAAGGCCTCCGAGGGGCGCCGCCCGGAGGCGCCGCCGGGGCGGCGCCGCGGGGCCGCCGCAGGGCCGCCGAGGGGCGCCGCCGAACGGCCGCCGAACGGCCGCCGAGAACCGCGGAGGGGCCTGGAGCACGGAGGGACCCTGAGATCCGACGCTCCAAATAATTGCAGCAGGCGGTTTTCGGCCGTTTTCGGCCTCTGGAGGCCATCGCTGGGCTCCAGGAACGTCAGAAAACGACTCAGGACGAAAAACCAGCCCTGAAGAAGTGGTCCAGACCTCCAGGACCCACGCGTCGAAAAAATTGGAGCAGCTAGATATCTGGGAGGCGGGGTGCCTGGAGGAGTAGGAGGATGAGGTTCGAGGCTGTTGTTGATGGGAGAGGAGTAGGAATGACAGCAGGAGCAGGGAGGAGAGGGATGAGGAGAGGAGGAGAAGGACGAGGAGGAGGAAGAGGAGGAAGGAGGAGGGAGAACAAAGTGGAGGGGGAGAACGAGGAGGACAAGGAACGGAAGGAAGGCGACGAACGGGACAGGAGCTCGGCAACGGCCACAGAGATTCCACCACATTCGCATGTAAA